TGAGCCAAGTGCAGAGATCACAGATCAGCTTTGTAGTTTTTCAATAGGCCTCTCTGTTATAATTAACTCTATTGAAGGCTGTGTCCAAACTCATACATGTCTGACAACATTTCAATAGATCAGTGTGTTTCTGTGACTTCATGTAGAGACTGAAGGCTGCTGGAAACCGTCCGTCTTGACCGCTGATTTTGAACATCACCCCCTGCTGCTAATGCTGCCTGTTCCCATCTGCTTTTCAGGCACAGTTCTTTCTCAGTTATTTTAAACCCTGTTCAGACTGTCCTCGCGCTTCAGACTGAGCACTTTCTGGCCTTGAATCCTAACCAGTGTTTCCTGTCGGCAGATGTATCATCATCCATGTTATTTGCCAGTTAAAGAAATAAGTCAGGGTTCAGCTGGTCACAGTTAAAAAACCCCGTATGTACTATTGATCTGTGCCATGAATTTATACCCCGGCAATTTATGTCAGCCTGCAAGGGTGGGTAACTTAACTCCTGTAAATTAAAGGGTGAGTGAACTTTTCACTCATCTGTGTGTGTCTGTCTGTGTGTGTGTGTGCACCTGAACATATGTGTAGCTCCTCTGGTTTTTTTTTCTTTTTGTACCAATAACGTGGCTGCAGGTTTCCGATTCAAAGATGCCGTAAGTGTTATTCAATCTTTTTAATGTGTGTGTCCCACATGTACATGTACACACTCGTCGGTCTCAGCAAAAGGTAATTATGTGTAAGTTATGTGCGTATGTGTGTGGTGGGGATGGGGGGGATTTTTTTTAAACACAGAGGGGTTGATAATTATGGGTTAAATGAGTGCTCTCAGTCAGCCTCCCTGAGTGTGTGTAAAAAAGGAAGGCACAGTGAAAGCCACTTCAAGGCCGGCTAATTACCCCGAGGAAGAGAGGAAACATAAATGGACGATTTTGCGGCTATAATGTTACAGCAAAAACGGCTAAATCAAACTCGGCACGTGAAGCGGTGCCGCAGCTACTTTTGAAGGCTCCTAGCAACCCCGCACAGATGTGTGTGCGCGCACGTTTGCGTCCATATGTGCAGAATAGGCGTCTGTATGCGTACTGTATGTGAGCTGCGTGCAAAAATTCACACTAATGCATTCTGTATGTGTGCAGCGTTCACACATGCTGCGTTGCTGAATATTGATGCTTTTGCAGCTACTTGAAAATTCATTTAGATATTTGTTGACGCTTGTTTGTACATTTACAGTCATGAGCATTCTTTGTTTTAACTGTGGTTTTGACTCACATGCAGGGAGCAGGTTTTAATGCCGTGTAACCTTTTATATACGGGCATTTTTGATGCGGCTCACTGCTGATGCTAACTAAACAGTTTTGGGATTTTCCCTGCAAAATGTCAATGCCGCTGCTGACGATGTAACACAGCGTCATTTTTCTTTTTCCTGGATAAAACTGTGCAGACTGTGAAGCTGAACACAAACGGATGAACAACCCTGCTTGCTTGCTGTTTGTTTTATATCAAGTGATGAAAAGGGTTGCTGAAGATTTATCTGAGAGCAGATTAAACACATTTAACCCTTAAAACCACAAGCAGTTTCTAGGCATTTTTAGATCCTGTCACATTTTTGTTCACTGTGGGCTCATTTTTGTCTGCAGCATAAAATCCTGCACCTCTATGGAAACAGAACAAGCCTGGCTAAAAGAAAAGAGAACTCTAGAATGTCATCTGGGCACTATATTGAAGATATAATGCCATAAATTAGAAAACAGCAAGAACGAAAGTTGAATTTCTTTGATTATTTATTTTACAGAAATTGAAAAATCCTAGAATCAACAATAACAGCACTTTTCTAAGAGCACGCAGGCGTTACATGCTCTGGAGAAAAATGGTGACTATATTATAGATGTTTTAACTTCTCGTTTGCACTGAGGAGGAAAGAATTCCTTGTTCTTTTTGCAGAATCTGATTCATAAAAATGGTTTACTTTTGGCAAATTAAAAGAAAGAATAGAATAGAGTGGTTTTGACGAAATATCATGATTTTAAGCTTTAGTTCAGTTAAGTTTTCTATCTGTATTGTATGTCACAGATGATTAATTCAAGGACTGTTGGAAATCTGATGACTCTTTCTGTTTCTACAGTTTCTGGCTCCGATAAGTCGTGTCAAACATACTTTCAAAACCCACTACAGTGTCAAAATCATTTTCAAACAGAAGGCATCATTTTAAAGACATTTACATTAGATTTAAAAACCTGCATGTGTTGTGCATCGTTTGAAGCACTTTCTTTTAACTGTTCCTGTTCATGTCATGTCTGTGTTACATAATCACCAGTTTCTGGCATTAGGCGGCAGTGTTAAAGGTAATTAAAAGCAAATTTTATTGACGTGGTGATTGTTGCATCCTCACAAGGCGTCTTTTATTGTTGGGATGTGAAAACACCTAAGTTGAAAGAAGGAAGTTAGTGATGATGCAAACACCACCTTTACCTGTTTTCACGGATCAAGTAACCGTCCCTGGTACACACTTCGCCTACTTAATGTTTAATAAGGCGTTACCATGGCAACGTGCATCTAGCAAGGACACTGGAATCATCGTCTTCTCGTCCTACGAGGTGATGAACTTTGTCGAAATCATCTTCTTCAAACCGCAGCGCTTCACCTCCCTCTCTCCGTCATTACGAATGCAGACCACCTCATCGAAACCACCTCCTGATACCCAACACTACCTGCTCTCCTGCACCTTCCTCCTCCACCCGTCTGTCCGTCCAGCCTCGCGCCTCCCCCACCCTTCGGCTCTCCAGCACAGAGGCAGCGCGTTTTGTTTTCATGTGTCTCTACATTAAAAGCGGTTTTGGCAGTTTGATCTTAGCTCCTCTGCTAGCCGTGTAGCATACACATGAGGGTCCATCTGTGTGTGTGTGTGTGTGTGTGTGGTCAGTGAGAGACTTGAAGATGCTGACGGATAGGAAAGGAGCTGTTGAAAGTGTGTGAGTGTGTGTTAATGTGGAGTGTAGCATGTGGAAGCTCTGCCTTTAAGTGATAAGGTATCCACTTTGTATCTCAGCAGGAGGGCCGGCAACTAGCACCAGATCTGGATCCTCTGTAGTGCTGATGTTACACACTTCACACACGCAGACACTCATGCAAATGGGCCTACACACACACACACACACACACACACACATATATTTGTCCATCTCAATGTACAAAACAGAAACTTTTCTAAAACATATCTCTATACATGAAAAAAAATTTTACTTTCCACCAAGATCCTAGAAGCTCATTACACACGTATTCATGCATGCAGATATGTCCGTTCACACTCGCACAGACAAGCACATATTTGTACTCCCACAGAAACAATTACGTCGCCCAGTTCAAACACACATGGCCCGGTTCAAACATATGCACTGTAACTCTGTCCGAGGCCGCCTGGATAACTGCCTCCAACTTTGCAAACCGCTGTGACATATCGTATGTCAGCCAGCATGCTGTGAGCATTAGCAATAACTGGATTTCACGTAAGTTATTGAAAGCCATTTGTAAACAGAAACATGAAAGCAAACAAGCTCGCACGCAGCCTCACTTGATCATCAAAGGCTTATCGATCAAATGGTCCTCCTCCTCCTCCTCCTCCTCCTCCTCCTCCCTGCTCCACTGAAAACCAATGGGAGCAAACTACAGCCCATCTGTTTTGTTCCAAACCATGTTTAAAACGTCCAGCTTTCTTCCTTTTCTTTCTGCCTCGTACATGTGTGTGTTCTTGTGCGAGCGAGCGAATGCAAATGTCCCCGCGAGTGTAGGTAAACGCCGAATTACGAGACACTTACATTTGCATCTTTATGCGATCTTCTGTGGGTGATTCAGTTAAGAGAAGAAAAGAGATTAAAAAACTGAGATTTCTCTAAATCTTTTCATGTTGCTTGGATGCATCTTGTTATTTCTTTTGTAAGCAAGTGAATGAAAGGAAAACAGGCATAATTGGGGTGTTTCTTTGATCGTGTTCAGCAGTCTTTGGCTGAGTCTTGAAATCTTGCAATGCGGTTGCCAAACACTGTAAGTAATTACAATAATATTAATATTAATAAAATAACCATGTTTGTTCTCTTTTTGCTGAATTTGTGGTCAAATTAGGATAATAAATCTGGCATCCTCAACACTCTTCTTGCCTCTGTTCACCACCACAATGGATTTGAATTGAAGGAGTTGTGATTGAAGTGCAGACTTTCAGCTTTGAGTCAAGGGTTTTTCAAAAATATTGCATTAAACGTTAAAGAAGAGCAACCTTTTTTTTTCCTATGGTCGCTGAATTATAAAAATTCAGGTATTATTTCTGTACTTGGAAGCAAATCATGAACCCTCTTGAGACGCTTTACTGCAGCCTCCTTCGATTTGTTTTCAGCAAATCAAAAGCAGCTCTTTTGGGTCAAAGTCAAATCCCTGACTCAGCCATTGAAGAATATTTCTTTGCTTTAGGATGCTCTTGAGTTGCCTTCACTGTATGCTTTGGGTCATCTGCACTGGAAAAACGGAGGGTCCATGTAAAAATGGCTGTAATGTAGTATTTTTGTTAAACCACTGAAGTTGAAGGTCTGCACTTAAATCGCATTTTTTTCAAATCCATTACAGTGCTATGCAGAGGCCTAATTGCAAAAACCATGACATCGTCCAAATGCTTATGGAATTATCAGCCCCGCAATCATTATTTCTGTCACTTACAGCTCTTTTTATCTTAATTAAGAAATGGGAAGTGGCTCCCTTTGAAGGTGAACATTAAAGTTACTGCTTCACTCCTTAGTTCAAATTTAAACCAATGCACGATTGTAATGAGTGGGTGTAAAAAAAAAAAAACACACAAAGGTGCAGCAAATGTCGCCACATTTCAAGTGCTTACGATAACTGTTTCAGGTAATACGGTTACACGGAGGCCACCCTGTGACTCACTTACTCTGCTGATGATGGGGGAAAAAAAAAATCTGAAAGCCGTGCAAAATGAGTGAATTCTGTCTTTTTTGTGTCTCGTCAACAGTCGAACAAAGTCTCGGTGGTGCAGCAGTCTCACGGGATGCATCCGCTGACGTCCCTCCTGCCCTACAGCAACGACCACTTCAGCCCGAGTCCTCCACACCTGCCCACAGACATGAGCCAGAAGACAGGTGGGGAAAAAAGAACACACTTATACCTGACTGTACACAAAAGACAGAAGTCGGTGGTGCTGAAGGAGACCCAGTAGAACACACACAGTCCTCATTGCTGATGTTAAACTCTTGTTAAAAGATGAGTTGGACAGATTTAAGATGCCTCACACACACACAGACACACACACATGCACGAATAAACACAGACGTACTCCAGACAGCTGCTAAATTGTTGCTGAAATCCTCGTCCACATACGCGCCGTGATCCGTTCGTGCTGTCGACACATCGTTCATCACACACACGCAGCACACACAGTCTCATTTTACCAAACACACACACATAAGACATGTCATATAACAAATGTAGTATATTCGTATTCCTGTCCCCTCTGTCTTTCATATACACAATATTTGTTGCCTCACACGTGGACACGCAAACACACACACACACACACACACGTACACACTGAGGCATGCACACAGTGTGTGTGAAGTGGCAGCACCGGCTCCGTCAGCCTGTGGCGGTCCCACGGCTGCTCTGAAGTGGCCTGCTCTTCTGAAGGGACCGCCAGCCGCACGCACACACACACACACACACACACACACACACTCTCGCAAAGATGGAAACAATTAGGGTGACAATCGCACAAACCATCGCAGCAGCTCACACAAGGTTCTCCTTAGCGAGCGCTGCACTTACAAACACACACTGCACTCTGTTTGGAAGTCACAAACAAACACACCCTGACATTTAAACACTATAGGAGTCTTTGCCCCGCTCGAGGCGAGGTCTGAAGGGTGGCAGAGTCGCTCGGTCCGACTGCGCGTCTCACATTTTGCCACCTCACTCTTGAATGTATCTGTGATCACCAGAGGCTGATTCATCAGGATTTGGGATCATTCGATGAACACATCACCAGAAAACGAATCATAGTCATCTTAGTGACAATTTCCCAGCATTCAACTGCTGTGATTTCAGTATGGACATGATTTTTTCCTTGAAATTTACTTTCACCTGAGGATAAACCACTTTTATGCATATGTGGTCATTTTTCTAGAGCAAACATCAGATTTAACTTTACATTTGTAGCCCTTTGTAATGCTCCACTCAGAACAGGGATGTACATGTTTGATGTACTGCGTCACAAACTTCTTCTTCACATGCTTGGCTATGTACCACAAATGCCACTGAAGGATTCCACTAGAGGGTTCACCACAGAACTCAGACCATAGAAAACAATAAACGTGGCACGGAATTTGGTTAAATAAATACTAAATATCAGACCACGGCAGAAGAAGCGTAGTTAGCAAAATGGGAAATGATAGAGTATGTACATACAGTACATTCCATAAATGCAGGAATGTTCTTCGTTTGTTCTACAAATGTAAAAAAAAATGATGAAGAACCTGCCATATTTGATGACTTAGGGTTGTCCTCCAATCGGAAGTCTGGCGGTTCAATCCCCCGCCCCTCCACAGTCAAAGTGTCCTTGGGCAAGACACTAAAACCCGAAGTTGCTCCCAATGGCGGGCAGCACTTTGCATGGCAGCTCTGTCACCATTAGTGTATGAATGTGTGTGTGAATGGGAGACATTGTAAAGCACTTTTGACAAAAGCGCTGTATACGTGCAGATCATTTAACAGACCATTTATGACTTGCTCTGTCGTAATAGCCCACAGTTTCATTTATGTAGTCTGAATTAACATTATAAATCATCTGAAAGCATTTCACATAGTGAAGTGAAGACCAAGAGAGAAACCCAACAAATCCAAAGATCCTATTTGAGCAAATGTTTGTCAACAGAGTGAAAAGACAAACGAAAAAACTTCTTTATCAGGAAACCTCAGGCAGAACCAGGCTCAGGGATGGTGGCCATCTGCCTTGACCAGTCGGGGTGAGGATAGAGGGGAGGGAAGACAGGGAAGCAGAAATCAGACAAACAATGTGTAGAAGAGATGTAAACACTGGGTGAGTTGGTAAGGCCAGTAACTGCTGATCAGAAACATGCAGCTCGACAGAGATACCTGCAGAGAGGAAAAGCACACAAAACACACTGCAACAGTAGAAGCTTAAGGTGCAATATTATGAAAAAGTAGGACATTCTAGTTGTAGGCATACTGCATGAAACAGTACGTACTCTGTAAGGGCAGGTTGTAGTACATATTTGAAATAAAATGGTAAAGAGTGCCGCCAATCATTTCAGCAGAGCAGTACGCTAACTCTGCCAAATCCCAGTACTGACCCTACTGTTCTGTGTTGTATCTTCTGATTGCGTAGCGTTATGTTCTGTGGACGTGTACAACTGACACTCTACATGAACACAGGCATCATGCACAAAAAAACACAGAATTCAGAGCAAGTATGTCTCTTTTTTTTGCATACACGAGAATCCCAGTTCAAGGTTCATCCAGGAAAGTCTGCTCAGACCTCTCCTTCTATACTCGCATGCAGCTGACAGTTACGCAGAGACTACGCTACGAGGACAGCAGTGTACACCGAATACATAGATGTCAACCTGCTGTGCATGCAAGTGGAGTAGAAACTAGCAGAAAGGCAACAATTAAGCATCTAACGCGCCACAGCTCTCCACGCGTGCATCCGCAAAGGAGCGTATAATCAAGGTTTACTGTAAATCTGACACCATGACCCTGTCTGAGTCAGCACTCAACGACCAAACCTCCTTCGCTCTGTCAACCAGCACAGGACACTATGTGACTTTACCGAACCAGTGTGTCTGTCTGGAATAAACACCAATTTAACAATACCAACGTTTAAATGTCACGTAACTGAAAAGCGACAAGAGAGGTGGAAAAAATGAGGCGAGACAAGTGTACACACGGTGGTAAGCGAGTGATTGCAGGAGTGTGTGCTCTTACGGAGAAATGAAACTTTAACATAACTTTAATTCAGTGATTATTTGATGTAATTCTGTGGTTTCTTAGTAAAGTGTCTGAGCTGCATTGCAGACTGGGGCTTTTTGATAACAGTAACAACCAGAGTCTCGTATGAATGGGAGCAAAACACATGTATGTGAAAAGGCTACAAGATTTTTAGTCTGTGCCTGGTAATGCAGCTTTAGGGACCAGTTGTGTTGTGGTAATGGTGGTGGCTTGATAATAATTACTCATTATGAAAAACTGGTGATGATGAAGATTATTCAATACAACTCATTACATCTTTTTTTCATGTAAGCACTAGACATAAAAAACAAAATGCAACTAACAAAAAGGGGAAAAAGAAGACTATATAAATGAGAGTGCAGGCAGCAGAGTTCTCCTGTGGTGTCACAGAAGTCACACTTTAACACAACTGAAAACCGTGAAATCGTCGTCCAGATACAGGAATGTGAGATTCACTGATCTTCTTACTCTGCATGGATTTTCCTCGGGAGCTGCTGCGTTTAAAGATTCAGGATCCCAAAGAGGATTTCGATGATGATAATTACAACAAAGCGAGTGCCTTTTTCCAGAGAAAACAGACATAGACAGGTAAACGAATCGAGCGAAGGGAAAAAAAGCAGAAACAAGAGATGAGCTCAAGTCTTTTATCAGCTCTGATTAGGTATTAGACTGAACCTGACCTCAGGCAATCTCCTGCCTGCTCTGTCTGGAAATCCCCCTTTTTTTTCCCCTCCCTACAAACACACTCTCCTTGTCTGGTCTAGACGCTGTGTGTTGGTGTGTGTTTGTGTGTGTATCCATGACTGACGCTAACACAGTGACTCAGCCCTTAATGACAGACTGAGCCACCTGCTTCTGACTTACTCAAACACACACACTGCTAACACCTGGCTGCTGCACACAGTCTTTCTCAGACCGACTTACCTGAACTGCGTTTCTGCTCAGAAACATCATGAAGCACACACACACATCATCTTACCTCACTCCTATCAGTCGTCAGCTGATCGCAGGTATGAGCTACCTCATCAGTGATGTCATTTCTCGGCACACCTTTCTGTTCTCCCGCATCGCTGAGCTCAGCGTGGATCAATATCTTTTAATACCTGCTGACAGAGAAGCAGAAGATTAAAGCTTCAGGTATGGAAAGCTGATCTGAGGCATTTCTTTAGTTAGAAACAGAAAGTCTTGGAGGCGCTGCAGTGGAAATATGAGGCTTTTTATATCAATAGTTGGAGGTTTTTGGAAGTTTAGAAGATCAGTTCCCAACTTTTTTTTTTTTGACTCAGGACTCTTCATCACTCACTGCATGTGTCATTCAACTACGCACCAAGCCCTGACCGAAAAGTTTCACATCTCATTTAGCTGACATTTTAGAATCGGTTTTATCGGCCAAATATGTGAACACATACTAGGAAACTGTCTGTGGTGTTTACTTAGCTCTCAGAGTACTTACACTCAATAAAACGTGCATTTAAACAAGGAGGAAGAAGATTGTTAAACTACTGGATGCAGCTACAGACATGTGCAAAAGAGCATGTTTTAAGAGTTTCAGTGTAAAGTACAGTGAACCAAAATTGAAATATAAAGTTCCTGACTCCTCATATACATGAGGCAGGAGGAAATCTTCTAATCTTGTGTTTTCAGTCTGTTTCGTAGCAGTTGGTTGTTTTTTGTGTAACTTTAACGTTCTAGCTGCAGGTTTTTTTTTTTGTCTGTGCTTTTTAATCAAACTTTAGTCAAGTGGTCCTCTATAATATCGACCACCAACTCTGTCATTTTGCACAAGTTCACATGCAGCCCCAACATGGCATCCCTGCAGCTAACTTATAAAGGCAATAGTGTGCACAATATGAATACGTTGACCCGTCCCACTGCGGACGTATACAACTGAGTCCTTCAAGCAAACTCCAGCGGTCTAGAAAAGCGTAATAGCAACAACTACGCATCCGTCAGTGGGTGTCAGCGACAGTGCGTCCACACGGGAGTGTAATCGAGGCTAAACACTCCGTCGTGTTTGTTTTTACAAGAACCTCGAAATATGACTTTAGAATATGAGCTTGTATCATCCGTCTAAATAGTTTTTCTATGTGAAAGCAGCAGAAAATCATATTACCGT